TGCTGTAATTTCTTCTGGGAGAGTGTGTCGAGACTACCGAACCAGACTGTAATGGATGAGGTGAGAATGCTTTCGACGATGGCTGTGTAGAAGTTGAAAGGGGATCCTCAGCCCCTCATATAGTCCCCTGCGTGTGATGAGGGTGATTTATGTATGGCTGTCCTCACTGACAAAGCTGTGATGGTAGCCTTACCTTCCCAATCATCCTTAGCAAAAACCTCACTCTCTTCCCTCAGCATGTCTTACTTTTTGTTGTTGCTCTGATGTTAAGTGGGATAGATTAACAGATGGGTCCCAAAGTAGTTGCTGAGGTTTACTTTCGTTATACCTTTCCACTGTTGTTTTCTGACATGGTTTCACTTGGCCATTATTGCTCAAATCTCTATTTTGATTTTGTGACTCACATATAGCTTTTTCCTCAACATTCTTTACAACACCTACAGCATATAACCTGCCAAGTACAGTTCTGTTCTGTAGTCTAATTTCATCATCTGTGTTGTTTTCAGCCACAACAAAAATGGTGGCTTTATCTGTACTGGCTAACTGTACTAACTGCTGTTTTTCATCCAGTCCAGTAGGCCACGGTGTGTCCTCATTTGGTTCCAATATGGCATACTGCTTCTTTCATGCTTTTATTGAGTTTGCCACAGACCACCTTTACCATTTTGTGCTTTGGGATGATAACATCCTGTCTTCCCAGTCTTGTTATCTGACTCTCTGAGATGCCTTTTTGCTTCTTCAGTAATGAATATGCTGCTCTTGCCTTTTTGTGTTCGACATCAAGAGCTGATCCAAGACTGTGAACAAATTTGATTGCTACTGTTCTGTCTGTAGACACTTTGGTCTGTGCTAACTCTTCAATGACACTGAAACCTATTATTAGTTTTGAAAGTGGAACTGTGGTCACCAGTAAGGGCACAAGCAGTTCACTGTCCTTATTTGCCAGTGAGCTGATCTCCACTCCTATCCAGCCTTCATAGGGTATCCCTGTCCCATTTACAGTGGTAAAATCCAACATACCCTCATCAAGGAGCTCTTGCACTGGTCAAATGTCAGTATCTGGTAAGTGTGTCTTTTTTTCAGTCCATACCAACAATAGACACTTGGGATCCTGTATCCCATAACACTATGGTTGGAACCCCTCCCAGGTTACAGTGCATAAGACTCTTGCGTCCTACTTACTTTGCTGTTATTTCCTGTTTTCTTGTCAGTGAGGTCTACCTAGTTAGCACAGCAGCATTGTTAAGCTTATAGTGGCAACTTCTATTCTGCATGTGTTGGCAATGGTATCCTTTCTTTTCTGACAGCCTATTGCCCAATGTTTACTACTGCCACACTTGTAATAGTATGTACATCTTCCCTCTGGATTTGATTTTTTACACTCAGAACACTTCCTTGGAGTTCATTTAGCACTACCAGAGTTTCTCTGCTTAGTTTTAGCTGGTTTGTCTTCCTCGCTTTTTGTATTCGTTTGGCTGAGACTAGCAACATATCTATTGATATCTGCACATACAGCATCATCTTGTAGTCCTGTCAACAGTGTTTGTAAGAGCTGCATCTCTATGAGTTCAGGGTTGTACTTATCCTACCTTGGCTCTCTAAGATGCAACAGGACTTTCTGTCTGAGGTCCATGGTGCATATTAGAAACTACACAGGGGTTTCTTTTGGCTCATGGACAGGGCACGTCAGTGAATGATAAAGTTCTATGGCATCTTTCTCTATGAAGTGAGTCCTAAGGACTTGACTTAAAGAGCGCAGTGATAGTTTTTTTCTGCTTTCCAAGTAGCTCTATAAATTAACTTCAGGTGCAATCTCACCTTCATCATAGCCTTTTTGCAGTCCATGTTAAGTCTGTCTTTCAAGGCTGGTAAAATTCAGTTTGTCTTTTTGTCCCACTTCACCAATTTGGCCAATGATCCTGACATCTTTACTGTTCATGGGATGCAGATTCACCTGGCCTCTGGTTTGCGTGGAGTCTCTTTCTTTCTGAGTCTGTTAAGCTGCTTGGCTGTGGTGACAAAGCTGGTTGAGGCATAGTACCATCTTCTCTTCACAGGGAACGCTCTACAACAGTCTTTGGCTGCCCACTTGTCTCCCCTTCATGTGCTGATACATTATGTCTCCCAGCATCATCATCATCTTTTTCTAAATTGTCAATAAAATCATTTGTGGCTAAAAGCACTGACAGCCCTGTATCCTGTAAACCACTAACTTCTTCACTCTCCAGGTAACCCAGAATCAGTTTTCTCAGTAACCAACATGAAGACTTTATCTCCTTGCTGGGCTGAAGTCCTAGCTCCTCACTTACTGCACTGAGATCAGTGAGTGATAAAGTTAAAGTTAGTTTCTTCTCAACATCAGCCAGTATTGTTCCCACTCACTGTCCATAATTATTAAGTCTTTGTTTTACTCACAACTTGAAGAAAACAAGTGTGGTTTGTTTATTTTCCTTCCATGTTTCTTTTCTGCTGCATCTGTGAGCTGGTTGCTGCTGCTAGCCGACATGACTAGCTGGCTTGTCTGCCCTCATTGTCCACAGCGAAGCAGTCTTCTCCACAAAAACACACCTTTGTTTCTAGTTGACAGCTTGCTTGAATCAGTTCCCACAAAACACCACAAATTATGTTGCACCATCAAAATGAACCATCAAAAAAACATGTCTATCTTCTTTTTGCAACTTTTATTAAACAAAAATCCCTCAGTTCAGTACAAGCATGTCATGTCCAGGAAATCTGGTTGTGTTTAGTTTTCTGTCTTGTGTCTATGCTGTCTCGTGGCTTCCTGTTTTATTTTGAAATTTGACTCCCCTCTCGTTTTAGGTAACTTGGCCCTTCCCCTTGTGTGTCTCCTGCTGGTCTGATTGTCTTCCCTGCCCTGATTGTTTCCACCTGTTCCCCATTACCTCGTGTATATTAGTCTGCATTTCCCTTTGTTCTGTGCCAGTTCGTCTTGTCCTGTTTCTTAGATGCTCCCTGCTCCCTGCTCCCTGCTCCTTGCTCCTTGCTCCTTGCTCCTTGCTCCTTGTTCCTTGTTCCTTGTCTAGTCAGGTTCTGTATGTCTTTGATACTTTGTCTTGCATTTTGCCTTAGTCAAGTTTTGTGTTACTTTGATACTTTGTCTTGCTTTGCCTTAATCTAGTCTTGTTATTTTGATACTTTGTCAGGCCTTTTCGTTGTTACTGTAGTTTTTCCTCAGTGATTTTTAGGTCTAAAAGTGTTTGCAGTTTTTTCCTCTTAGAGTGATTTTTCTTTTGCACTTTGAAATTAAAAGATTGTTTATTGAAACTTTGTCTTCTGTGTCGTGTATTTGGGTCCAAGTCCTAGTTCGATTCTGACAAAGCATATTTTTCTTCAGCCTGCATACTGCATTTCTCCATAACGCTCCCTCTAAAAGTGACCGTGCTTTCTTCTAAAGGGTAAGTCCAACAATTTTCTCACTTCACAGGAAGTAAGTATACAGGTAAGTAATGTTTTTAACAATTGTAGTAATAAAAAATATGAATGAACTAAAACATCTATTTAAATGAAATGCTTTAACTGGACACACTGATATAAAAACAACATCCCTAGTACAGAGGATATCTAGAATATCCTCATACTTTACCTGTCCAACTTTCTGTGCAGTACAATCCTGGTTGGATGTGTTAAGAAGCTGCTTGCTGTCTAACCCAAATAAAACTTAAACTAATGGTTCTTTGAATAATGTTACCTAAAACTGACCTCAACACTGGACAAAATATTTACCACTGACCTATACTTAACCTACAATGCTTTTTTGAATAAGAAAACAAAGATTTGTCCCGCAACAAGAAATAAATATCATAAAAAGCATTAAATTAAACATTCTTGTAAATGTAGACACTCTGTCACAGTTCTTATTTTATGTTTTAAATTACAAATTATAAGTAAACTGTTTGTATTCCTTGAAAATCATTGCTTCTTTTCATGTTCTGTGAGATATAATGTTAAAATTCCTGGCAGAAAGTGAGTTCTAAGAATTAGAAGGTTCTATCTATACCTGTCATTAAAACCCCCATTAACAAAACTGATTTTAATATTTTACAGACAGCCCTTTTGGCACTGAGTATATTTTGTGTGTTTTTTTTGTACGTACCAATGGCCCTTTACACATGTAGTGTGCTGGCTGTCTTGTGATAGTTTTCTATGAACACTCTACTTGACGACCCTTTTATGATTTAGCTTTGTTGTTGTGCTACTCCTGCTTGTCTATTCTTTTGGTCGTATTCTGAACGACTGGTCACGGGACCCTTTGATGCTGTTATTTATATATTTCTGCATCAAATCTGACAGTCACACGTGTATAAATTTTGTATTTGTATTCATTATTCTGACGATTGCTGTGATTCACACACAGTCATGCAATTGTCATTTATACAAAAAAATTTTCTGCTCTCAGCACAGGCTGATTTGTCACATGATCCAGTCACATGAGCTTTTCACACATTCCTAATGTGTTTAAACACCTGTTTGTAATTTGACTAGCTCATATCCTGATGAAGATTCGTTGAGTCGAAACGCGTTGATATCCCTGTTCTTAATAAAGGATTTTTAATATTACCCCGGAGTGCCTTGGACTTTTCAGCTTGGACTGCATTTTTGAACACTTTTTTTGAAACTTTCAGTTTACAATCAGGACAGTCCTTCTGTTTTTATTGCATCTTTAATATTTTACAGTTAGAATAACTTTAGGGTGTCTGTCATTTTCATGCATGAAAATTGTTCCACATATAATTTTTGCTATTTGGAATGCAAAAAATTTGAAGCTTAATATCTCAGATCATTTAAATTCTAAGGTGGCAATATTGCTGTTATCTTTCAAATCAGTGCATTTTGGAAACCCATATCTGTCCAGGCTAGTTTTCTCCCAACAGATCTTACTGTGGCCAAGCTACTGTAATGAACAGATAAGAGGTGGTGTAAACCCATGTTAGGTGTGTGAGAGAGAGTGGGAGAGAGAGAGAGAGAGAGAGAGATCCCACCTATGACTTTGTCCTTCTTGCCATTCCTGATGGGAGTGCAGAGCAAACTCTTTATCTGGTGGCTGGTGTGATCTGGGCTTTCACTCTGTCATAGGGCAAGAGGTATAATTACTCACTCTGAGGAAAGGAAAGAAAAAAGAAAAGTACATAAAATGTATACTGACTGTCCAGGGGAAGCGTTGGTCCTTTGTGATGTCTGCAATGTTGAGAGGCTGCATGGTGTTTTTAACATACTGGGCGTACATGTAGTTAATCTGACTGGCATCACAGTCCCTGAGGAGACACACAACAGCACAAACAACTTTATTACGAACCTTGCATAATGAGATGGAATTCCCCTGCAGGAACAGCGGGAGTTTGGACTGTACAGGAACGATGTTTGGAATGATGCACCTCTAATTTTAAAAGTGTGAATGCATTTAACTCTAAGTCTCTTTGGACAAAAGCATCAGCCAAAAGAGTGGAATATAATAGCTGGCAGTGGATTGTTCAAACCCAAAAAATTTTATTTGAAATTCTAACAGAATTACAAAAGTTTTCAATATTCACTCTTCTATTAGCTCTCTGGCTGCTAAATGCTCCATTATGTTCACCTGCTAGTCTCTTACTGTGTCTGTCTGCTGAGTGCTGCTGAGCAGGTTGTGTGCAGTGGCTCAGCTGAAAACAGCTGCTGCTGGAGACAAGTTTAATAAGAGGTCTTAGACTAAACAAAACTACCACTACCGTCTTGCAGTTGTATGCCTCCACACACCAGTGAAGTTGCACTTACAGTTTACATCCATGTCTATGAAAACATGGATGCTTCACACACATCTTAATCTCAGAAGATCTATGCAATCAGCACAGTTTCAAGATGGACACTGAAGATAAGTGCCACCAATAATGGTCACAAATGTGTTTTTGCAGAACACTGTGATGCCACAGTGAAATTGACTTTTGACCTTTTGGATACAAAATGTAATTTCTTCATCATTTTATCCAATAAGAAATCTGTGTAAAGTTCTGTCATAATCAGCTATGGAACTGTATGTTATGGCCAAAAACATGCCTCATGATGTCACAGTGTCCTTGACCTTTGACTTTTAACCACCAAATTCCAATCAGTTCACTTTTAAGTCCAACTGAATGTATGTGCCAAATTTGAAGAAATTCCCTAGAGGTCTTATTGAGATATCGTGTTCACAAGAATGAGATGGACGCAAGGTCACAGTGACCTTGACCTATGACTATGACATTCTAAACAGTTCATCTTTGAGTCGGGGTGGACATTTGTGCTAAATTTTAAGTAATCCCCTCAAGGTGTTCAGATATTGCAATGTCACAATGACCTTTGACCACCAAAATGTTAGCAGTTCTTCCTTTGAACAAAGACAGCAGATAAACCAAGACGGTCCACTGCGAGTCAGTTTTCTGTATCAGTGTCACGTGGGGTTCGCAACCACCACGCCCCTTTAGGAGACTAACATTGACTTCAGTGGGAGAAATGAACTTGATTACAGATTATGGCCGATTCTTTCGCCCCATAGTCACGGAAGCAGATATTGGACCCATTTATCACAAGCCACATATCTTCAGAACATTCCGACACCAAAATGGCAAATTTCAGACGGACAAATCAGGAGAAATTTTACTTTGTTCAAGACCTGTCTCTGTCTCAACAACACACTCTCGCGAGATCCAGGGCAACAGATAGCTCCTCTCTGGTGCTGAAATCAGTGCAGTTTCACCAAAGATACTGGACTGTCCAGTGGAAGTGGGGTGTAGGGGATTCATAGCAAGATCAGCTGTCTTGCTCCTGGGGGAACTCGGAGTGCGGGGACAAAGTTTGAGGAAGACAGTGAAGGAAATGTCAGATGAAGCAGCCAGAGCAAGTCAGTGGATCTGGAAGAGAAAAAAATAATGTCAGTTGGGGGCCAGCAGGGGGAACTACTAAGCAGGGTACATAACTCCTTGAGATCAGGTGGAGAGATCCACCAATCAATCCTCTCAGGAGAAAATCCAGGAAGAGGAAGGTTATTTGAGTGTAGGAGTGGCCTATTTGAATCCCTTTTGTTTGAGACCATGCTGCAAGGTGAGTGTGTTTGCTGATCCTGTGAGATTATCTATCTCCTTTAACTTTAGCTTATATTGGAGTTATGCTATGTAGCATGTGAAATAGAGTATGGTGAATGTGCTAGGAAAGGTAGTATCAGCACTGTCTCTACCTGGAGCTCGCATGTATGGAGCCTGGGTTTGTTGAAGGTGGCAGTGCTGTTTGGGCTGAGAAAGACATGTGTAAGTAAGGTAAAGGAGGTTGTTGGGTTGGTGCAGGGAGCAGTGAGACCTGGCATTAGGGGAGTGTCTCTGGGACACCAGAGATCACTGTCTAGTCTCCTGGAGGTGTCGTGGGACTAACTAGACGAAACACTGGTGAAAGGAGGTTCCCACCTGATGACCCCAAAGACATGTTAGTTATCACTGCTCACTGGTCTGTATAGTTAAGCCTTGCCACAATAGCTTATCATAGGGCTTAGGAGGTTAGTCACTGAGTGCTGATCCTTTCTCTAGAGCACAAACTTGTGTTTATTTGAATTTGTGAATGTGTTATCTCAAGAATGCCTTGAGGGAATGTCTTCACATTTGGCACAATTGTCCACTTGTATTCAACAATAAACTGATTAGATTTTGGTGGTCATAGGTCAAAGGTCAAGGTGACCTTGTCTGTCTCATGCTCATAAAAGTAATATCTGAATAACACCTGAAAGGATTTTTTTTTTCAGATTTGGCACAAACGCCCACTTGACTCAAAGCAAAGATACTGTATTATAACAAGATGGCCCAGTTACAATATACCCCCATTGTATGAAATGGTATACATTTCCGGTCTCCTAAGTAGGCATTGTCCCCCGTAGCCCAATCAAAGACGATGGAGAACCGCCAATCAAAGACGAGTATCCCCAACCTCGCTTGGTTATCGTAGATTAGCTGGGCTAACCGTTAGCCGTTAGCAGTCTCTGTAATAACTCAATAACTCAATATACGGTCCATGAAAAAAATATTTTTTTCCAGCAGATGTCTTAGTTACAACATGATTGAGCTAACTGGAGTAGTTTCATGTCGTATCCGACAACGGGAGGCTTTTAACAGATGATGTCCTGATGTTAGCTTTGCTGCTGCTGTTAGCTGTCTCTGTCAGCTGCAGCAACTGATGCTTTCTAGACATGGTGATTTCCCAAAACTGAATAAATACCACACATAGCAACACAAAACTGCTTTGCTAGTTCAATCATTTTGTAACTAAGATATCCCCGCACTCCGAGTTCCCCCAGGAGCAAGACAGCTGATCTTGCTATGAATCCCCTACACCCCACTTCCACTGGACAAATCCTAGTTTTCCATCCTCGCTGCTCAGCTTCTGCTCCTAAGTCTGCATACCTAAGCTTTTTTCTTTCATAGGGTTCTTCTACCGAGTCTTCCCAAGGAACTGTCAGCTCAATGAAATAAACTATCTGTTGACTGACTGACCACAACACTATGTCAGGCCTCTGCTTCGTACAAACTATTTCCTGAGGAACAACAAGCTTTCCCCCTAAATCTACTTGCATTTCCCAATCACAAGCACCTTCTAGGCGGCCAAACCCTTGCCTCCTTACTAACTTATCCCTTCCGTATTTCTCTCCCTCACGGACAAACTGAATTGCTAAACTCCTATTCTTAACACCTTCTGAATTTACCTGTCTTCGTTTCCCTTCGATGCCTTTAGCGAAACATTTCAACACCTGGCTATGTCGCCATGTATATCGGCCTTGTGACAAGCTAACTTTACAGCCTGACAAAATATGCTTTAAGGTTGCAGTACCTGAACACAATGGGTATGATGGGTCCCCATTTACCCACAGTTTTAGGTTCTGGGGGGTTGGTAACACATCGTATGTAGCCCCTACCAGGAATCTAATATGATTCTTCTCCATACTCCACAGGTCCCTCCAACTAAGCTTCCTCTTCTCTACACTTTCCCAATTCAACCACTGTCCCTGTTTAGCCTGGGCCACTACCTTTGCACCCCTTAATATCTCCTCCTGTCTACGTATCTGTTCCACAACCAGCTTTCTTTTATCTTTGAGACCTGCTTTATTCTATACCAGTTTGCCTGAGCCAAGCCCCAGGCCTCCCCAGCCAAACTGAACATTACCTACAATCGCTGCATGCCTAAGAGCTGCCTCCTGAACTGCCGATCTTGGGCTCCACTTCTCCCCCTTGGTTGGATTTGGAATCACACTCCTAACTACCACGTTCTTACTCCCAGATAACAAGAGCTCTGTCCTGACCTTGGTACATTTAAATTCCTCTGTCAAACTAGATACTAGCAGCTGAAGCATCCCTTTTCCATACAATGCAACACTACTTAGGCACCTAGGAGCGCTCAACCACTTCTTTATATAGGAGCTAACCGACCTTTCAGTTCTCTCCACAACGGATATTGGAACTTCATAAATTGACAATGGCCACATTAACCTAGGATATAGCCAAGAAGAGGATGGACAAACAAACTGACGGATGGACAGACGGAAAACATGAAGGCAGAAATTTAAGTTGCCAGTTTTGAAACCAAAACAATAAGCTTAAAGATGCTAAAATGCTTTTCAAGCTGAGAGTTGGGTAATTACCTCTGTGGATTTGTCACTGCAAAGCAAACATTTACCACTGCTTGTCGTCACGTTATCCATTAGTTATTTACGTTTACATTTTCTCTTACTAATGTTGTGTTTCAGTAGACAGCGCACTTTTTTTTAGCCATGGTGTCAAACCTTGTTTAAGCTGACTACAGAGTCCATGGAGTTGTTGGGGTCAACATATATTTACCTCACTCGGCGGCACCATAAATGTTGGGGTCAACATGTTAGGCTTCACACGGAGGCACCAAATATGTTGGGGTCAACATGTTAGGCTTCACACAGAGGCATCAAATATGTTGGGATTTAATTGGCTATCGGAAATAATTAATAATTATTATTAATAATTAATAATGATGTTAAATAATGTGACTTAATTAACATTAAATCACCTCGTGGGGCACCATTCCCGTAAAGAGAAAAATGATACTCAGTTTGATTAATAATTAAATAACAAAAACCAAAATTAACGGTAATGCCTGAAGGATTTCGGAGTTCTTGACGCAGCAGAGGTTGACTATTCATTCACTCTTGTGCAACATTAAACAGACAGCAGGTATGATTCCAAGGAATTATATTTATTCACAAATTAGCAAAGCAAACCAAAACACACAAATTCTA